CTGTTTAAAAGGCACAGTCAACTTAGTGTATGTAAACTTCTGACCCACTGGAATTGTGATACAGTGAATTATAAGTGAAATAATCTGTAATTAAACAATTGTTGGAGAAATTACTTGCCAAAACTATAGTTTGTTAACTAGAAATGTGTGGAGTGGTTGAAAAACAGGAGAGGAATAGCTCTCAAGCACTGTATTGTGTCTGAAGAGGACAGATGATCAAATGTGGACATTTTCTGCTGAAAACAGCTGTTTGTCAATGAGGTATGAGTCTGCAACGCGTCACCAACCGCTAATAGAATTGCTTCTGACCTTTCCAGAGTAAGCCATCATAACAAAAGCTCTCTAATGTTACAATCCTAAGGCAATGATTAGTCATTGTTATAAATAGATAACCCCGGGAAAGAGGTAGGAGCCAAAAGCACTGGAGGAGAAGCTGGCCACCTGAAAACATAGTTGGAGCACTGCTGTTAAAACAAATATACGGAATATAGGGCTATATTTCTGGCTCTTTTCTTTACACAGGATTTAAATACATTTACATTACATACATATACAGTAGTTTCTACTACAAATGTGTGGAGCTTGTATGTGGAAACCCATTTACAGTAGCCAGCTAGGAACTGGGATGTCCCATATTGTTTTTATACTACAGTAATCAGGCATATAATCAGGAATGTGATTGGAATAAAAAAGCCAATCAAGGATAGATAGGCTATCAGTCAACTTTGATTGTTAGATACAGGTGCGAAATAGCAGTCCTGATTTTCTAAGGTGAAACGATCAGGAATTCCAGATCAGTCAGGAACACCAGTAAGTAAAAGCCCATCTCTCAGTAATTCTTAAGGCAGACGAAAGTTGTGTACTTAGTCCTTACTAGGTCCTGCCTGTGCCTTGTAATAGCATGTGTAGCAGTGCTGGATATTGGTTAACACTGGCCCTAATCCATCACTCATTATTGGACTTAAACAGTGGCGCTTGTAAAACACAAAGACCTTTCCAACCCATCGGCATGAATAATGCAGATAGAGACAACAGGGTCACTCCATTTGTAGTTTCTCACAAGAGGACGACATTTAGTGATAAAGGTACAAAAGACCTGCAGTTTTAATTAAAACCTTGACAAAGTAGGGCAAGCTTAATATGGACCTTTTGAAGTGCTACAGCTCCTCTGGCTTACAGTAGCTCCACAATGACACATCTGTGTTCAATGTGTGTGATTAAATAAGATTCTGATTTGCATTCATTATACACATTTGTAACATGTGCACCTGTTCATGTGAAAAGATGTGCATTGTGCAACAACATGTCCCTTAAAGAGATTTTCCAGTACTTTTGAGAGTAGCACTCACGAGTCAAAAGTGGTCCCTGAAAATGGTGTACTACGTCACGTGCAGATATGGGCACCATGACATCATTGCTCTCTCTGCTGTGTGCACTCAGCCGTTGGGCCCGCCCTGCAACCTTATTGGAAAACGCTAGGCAGGACTTTTGCTAGCTGTCACTCAAATGCGAGGGGCTGAAGCTCAATGGATAGAATTCGAAATTGCAAGGGGGCTGGCCCACGTGGGGGGAAATGTAGGGTAAATGACACGGCTTCAAGAAAACAGTCACTGTCAACCTAGGGATTGCGTGGCTAATTGATGTAAGACAGTAATTCTGCTAATAGATTCTGCATGTATGAAATACACAGACACATCCAGCCCAAAACGGGAGGTTTAAAAAATACTTTTAGTAGCCAAAGTACCGGAGCATGTCTTTAAAATGGTTGTGCAGCCCATTACAACCATTTGGATAAAAAACAAATGAACTCATGGTATTTGTAGATACACATATGTTTATGATTATGAAAAGTAAATGAGACACGATTTAAAATACTGATTGCTAGTTTGTGAAGAGAGAAATGTGTTGCTGATTAATTCAACCGCAAGATTCACATCAGATATTGATCTGATCAGGATTGTGATCCTGTAAAATGCCTCATTAGCTTCTGTCTTAGTCCCATACTGTCTCCAAGTACACATACTGTAAAACATTAAATCTTATGGACATTAACCATAGCTAATAACCCAATCTCATGGAAGTATTAATATATGAAATGTGATAAAATGTTTACAAAGCTTGAAAAATAAGAAATGGTAACTGAATAATTCAAACCCAGTGGTGAACAAATTCAGTTTTCACCCAGGAAAAAGACTGAACAGAGAAGGGAACATACAGGGTCTTTGAGTCTTTACAAATAGTAGTTCATCTTTATTAATATATTTTCATAAAACAAATTTGAGACTGTATCAAAAAATCTGTAAAAACATTAGATTTTTTCAACCATTGCTCCTTATGGTGATATCAGATATGAAACGTACATTATTCACTTGTCTTCATCCCCCATCGTATTCTTTACAGGATGCAATATTTTCAGAGACGGAAAAGTTTATTAAAAAAAATTCCCCCGTCCCCCACAAACTATTAAATTTGTTTTTATTTTATGAAAGCGTGATCATAAATCTAGACAAACAAAATATTAAATGATTTCCACCCGCCCTCCCACAGCATCTCTACTGATAAAACACTAACATTTTTGAGATCTTTAGTTTCACAGGCACACCATTATGTACATATACTTGTTCCCATGCCTCATCTCAACTGATAATGACAAAGGCAGGCAAAACACTAACGATACAGTACAGCAGCATAGAGGCAGAGAGCAGTGATATTACAGTACGTTCCCCCTCAATTTTCTTATTTCATTTACTTAACCTTTATTTATTAAGGTTAGTCTCTCATTGTAACGAAATCTCTTTTGCAAGAGACCGGAGGGGTATACTACAAAGCAGAATCAATGAGTTAGCCAGCTAACTTGCCAACATATTCTGAAATAACTCATTTTTTTGAAAGATAACCTTGAAATGAGCATGGTCTAAATGATTCAACAACCAAAAACACATCTCTAAGTTTAGCTTTCTTAAATGAACCAGAAAATCTAGATTATATAAAAAATTTAAATAAAAGTTAGCTGGCCAACTCATTGATGCTGCTTTGTAGTATACCCCTGTGGTCCAAGGGAGACGTAGTCCCCAAAAACGTGTGTCAACAACACCAACAAACAGTTGATCAATCTAGTAGCCTAATTCTTTACTTCCGTCAGTTCTCTCTGTTGTCTAGTCACAGCATCTCATTGACCGGGCATTATGGGTGCAAACCAGCCATGCTTTGCTTTGCCACTACCTTGGCAACCCCGGAATAGTATAGTGATCCCTCAGTTTCAGGGGCAAGTTAATACACTGAATATAATGTCGTTATTACTCCTGTTTTGTAATCCCATTACATTAAAAATAATTGTGGTCATTCACTATCAGTCTATGATTTACTTGTTGATCAAGGACCTGTATAGCAGAGGATATTTGAGTCACATGATGTGTTAAATATTTTTTTTATCATGTCCTTTTTAGGCTACCAGTTACAATGTTTAGTTCTGCAAGACACAAAGGGCTAGTTTTACTAGGCGTCTTGCACCTGAAGTTTTACACCTGTTATTTTCAAGAGGGGATAAAACCTACAACGAAAAAACAAAATGGTAACATAAGCTAAGTTTGCATCCAATTGGAAACAGATTTTCATGCAAATATAAAACAATTTGCATAAAGAAATTATGAGCATTTTCACAACAGTGGCGTTTTTCCACCAAATGGACTTGAGGATAAAAGTCAGTGCGTGATGTAGTGCACACAAAATGTACTTTTTCGCTTACGTTTTCATGTACCGAATAAAAAATCTAAAGTTCAATGTGTTTCCATCTTATTTTCAACTCTACCAATATTTCTGTCACAAAAACTGTTAAATAGCAAATGTGCCTTGGTACAGTATGTGTACAGATACAATGCGGGTAGGCTAGTCTACATGATGAGATTATTATGGATAAGAGCGAGAATGTTTGTCAAACGGCAGCCAAGCATCGATCATCATGTCACCAGAATAAGACCCTCGATATTTATTGGAAAAGCGCTTCAAGATCACCATGCACTTTCACCACCCTGTGAAGTTCATCATAAATGATTTCATCTGTAGCCTAATGGACTGCATGGTTTCCCGAGTCAGTGGGAGGATCACACACAGACCATATCATTGTGTGACTCCAAGTTTACTTCGATATGATGGTTATTATATTAATATTTGTGCATAAAGGCGTTTCCATCTCCATTTGTCGCATAATTAATTTTGCAGACACAAAAAGATCCCACCATGTCGAACGAACAAATTATCTGTCCGCATTTATAAAATTGTACCGAAACTACCTGTTTCCACCCCAGCTGTTGTGATTTTATTTATACGGTATGACTTTACGACTTTACTCAGAGAAAAAAATTAAATGTGGATGGAAACGTGGCTAGAGATTAAGAGAATAATACAAATGTAAAGGTTATGATGTAAATAAAAGATGGTTTCATGCTTTTAGTTTGCCTTTTTGTCTTAGACTCCCTTCTAAAAATAACAGCTGCAAAATCTTAGTAGATCTAGCCCAAAGAAAGATAAAAGCAATATACTGTAATTGGTATAAAGATTCACTTTGTGAATGACAGCCTCCTAGTCTGTTGTCATGGTGACTTCTGATCCAAGGCCTCTGCAGCCTCCAGTCTCTCCCGCATTTTCATTATTTTCTACACAATAGAAACAGTACATCTTCGAAGATAAAATTATTCATCTTGGCAAGAACAGATTTAAAAAAAAAAGATTATTAAGCAATAGTCGAAAGCATAACTATGATGGACAACAAAAGAAAGAGTGCTGGAGTTTCAAACCGTTTCTGTACAGTTTTCCTGTGCCAGTAGTAGACTTATACAGTACGTTTCCATAGTAGTCACTTATACAGGAGTGGTCGCCTACTCCGTCCATGTCGAAGTCATCTCATTGTCTCATTGTACAGTATGTGTGTAAAATTCCTCCGTAAATTGTTTTCATACAAACAACCGCTCTCATCCATCCCAAAGCCAAGGCTCCTGTGAGCGTTAGGGAGGCACGTAGGGAGGTGGCGACCTGTATGATGTCATGTTCTTGGGGCGGGACCCTTTCCCCTCAATGGGAACAGTGAAGGGTGGAGGGGGCTGATAGGGGGGTGCGTTGGGGTCCTCATCCTGGTAGATGGAGTACTCCTCCAGGAGATCCTGGTTGAGCAGGGTGCTGTGAGGGCCAGCCATGTTGGGGTACTCCGGAGGGGGCAGGGGCGGCTTCTCCTCCTGCAGGATTAGGGGAATACTGGAGGACGGGGGGGACTTGGAGTCGTCTAACTCATCTGCAAAGATTATGGGCACGCCTTTCTTGATGAAGGTGGCCTGCTCCTCAATGGTCATCTTGCCCTTGCGCTTCTTGCGGTAGCAGACCATTGAGATGACGCCGGCGATCAGCAGTAGTGCCGCCACCACCACAGCCGGGATGACCGTGTGCAGGTAGACATCGTCACTGGTGCTACGACCCGTGCCAGGGGAAGGAGTGGCTGGAGGGGGAACAAGGATGATCACTTCTCCTGGGGGCACAAACGTGTAGGTATGGCACTTGTTGGTGCCGCGAACTGAGATGTTGATGGGTTTGAAGTCTGGCTCCATGGCATTGGAGAACGCCAGAGTGGGCCTGCCCTGGGGGTCGGAGATCTTTCTGCTGAGGACGGTGATCTGGTCCTTGGGACAGGGGCTCTGCTGGAGGCTGTTGTTGGTCCACTCCACCACAATGGAGCCCTTGGTGATACTCCGCAGGGTCACTGTGCTGGTGTTCCGGTCGCCCAGTGCATACGCCAACTTCTTAGTCAGGAGGATCTTCTTGTGGACGTCGTTGGTCAGTGTCTTGGGTTCACCGTGGAAACGGGCAGCAAAAACGACAGAGGGTTTGTCATTGACTGACAAATGGTTGACATGGACCTCAAAGGCGTCTATGGTGCTCATGCCTGCCTTGTCGGTGGCCAGCATGAAGTACTCGTGTTTGCCCATGTGTTCTTTCTCTGGGAGACCGTACAGGAGCTGGATGGTGCTGTTGAACTGGATCCAGGAGGTCTCGCTCACCACCTCGTTGTGGTTCTTCCTCAGAGTCAGACGCAGCTTGTCCGTGGTGCCATCCTCTTTGTCGAAGAAGGTATCAGGAGGAACCTTCACCTCAAAGTAGGTCCCGACCCAGGCGTTCACCTCGTCGATGGGGTTGCGTAGCTGGGGCTTCTCGTTGTTGTAGTCAGGAACCGGAGACAGATGGCTGGTGCGTCTGGGTGGCTTAGTCGTGGTCTTAGGTTCCCTAGGCACTGGAGTGGAGGTCTTGGGCTTCTTGGTTTTCTTGGTGGTGGAGGTCTTGGGCCTTCTAGTGGTGCTTGGTGGGGTGGGCAGAGCAGTAGCCTCTGGAATAGCAGGCCGGGTAATAGTAGGCTGTATGGGGATGGTACTGGTGGTGCCCAGGATCCTAGTGGGCTGAGGAACCCCTATAGTAGGAGTGTGGGCAATCTGATCTCTTAGCCTGATCGTGGGCTTCACCGGCAAGGGCAAGGGGCCACGGACAGGGGGGACAGAGCTGTCAGTGGCTAGGGAGATGAAAGGGGATGTGGGGGTGGGAACGATGCGAGTAGGGGGCTCGGGGTGAGTGGTTGGGGGGAGCAGGGAGGGCACAGGGGTGGGGGTGTTTCCCAGCTGCCTCCTGACCCGTTTCACCAAGTGGGGCTTCTTGTTGACGATGTGCCAGCCCACCACTGGGTAGCCTAATTTGGACGACATGGACCCGTCCTTGGCAGGCGATTGGACGCTGTTGATATTCGGAATGTTGGACTGGTCGAGGGCGCAGCCAAGCTTCCATGACAACAGGGCCCCATTCTCCACCACCTTCTTGGCATTTCCGGGCCCGGCCATGAAGGCGGACATGTCAAACAGGCGGTTGTTGACGACGGGGACCACCCTCATGTGCTCCAGAGGGACACCGGAAAACTTCTTCATGCTGGCCAGCAGGCCCACCCTCTGCTGGGCGTCCATCTTGGTGAGGTCGGCATCCAGGATTATGGTGAGGACAGTGACGGGCTCCTCGTTGCCGCAGGTGAAGGGCTGGAGGTTGTTGCTCTCAGCCTGGAGGGCCAACAGGGCCGGTTCAGTGTCGGCTCGCTCTTCTGGGTGCACCTCAATAGAGAAGGCCTCCAGGCCATGGCCACTGTTTATCTCTGAGCGGGAGATATGGTGGACACCTTTGTCCTGCTCCAGGGCCAGGCCTTGTAGGATGCAGCTCCCGGTGTCCCAGTGCAGCCAGGAGGGCAAGCTGTCCTTTCCCACCTCAGTTAACTGCAATAGGAGAGAAGAAAGGTTTAGAGATAGGGGAAAGTTATGGCGCATAGATCAAATTCTTAAAAGAGACGGTGTTTCAAACAAGAGGCAGATTCTGCCAATAAAAACCTACCCAACTATACAGTAATCTTAAGGGTATTATTATGAAAGGGTTTATAATATGGAAAACCCAGTCTCACGTTTTCCATTCACTCATTTAATCTGTGTATTGCTGTCTCTACTGACCCTTGTTGAAGTGAGCAGGAAGCTCGGCTCACAGTTAGCACCTATTCACAAAATGACAGCCGCCCAAGTCGTCACCCATTCATTTTGAGACATTACGATGTGACACGATATCATTCCCAATAATACAAGGAGCCAATATTAATCTAATCCCATTCATAAACTCCTTGTTTGAACAAATTCCACCACAGACAACCTCAATCAGCAGTGATAGAGTGAGAAAAAACCCCACAGAGACATAATATTATGTATAGCATTGCAAATATGAATATCTTTGGCTAGTTATTGAGAAGCCTACGGCTGAAACAAATTGCTACAACAGAATGATCCGGCCAAGAGTATGTTTATTGTCAAATAGAAATATTTGCAGTAAGGTTCAAAATAGCCATAGGAGCTGGGGGAAGTAGAAGGGGGTATAGGAAATAGAAGATAATCAAGTGGTTGTGGCTAAGTAAAGTTAAGCTTATTTAGTACAATGCTTCCCAAAAAGTACTTGTTCTCTCCATTTTCTGTTCTGCTGTAATAGCTGTTCCCAATTCCAAAGAGATTTTGAGAGCTGGCTCTTATGTGCAAGGTAAACTCCTCATACATATTTCAGCATAAACAGGAAGATTGGAATAAGTACGGTATTGTGATCAAGCAGTTGGGCACAAACGATTACGGAAATGAGGTAGAGGGCCAGTAAATTCTCAGCGCATTTTTGCATTCCAGTTCAACATTTACCTGCCCTGTCGTGGTCTACCATTGAAAAACACGGAAAAGTCGTGCCATTTGTATTTGAGATATAGGACGGTCATTCAAGCACCACCACGCTCCCGCGAGTCACAACTTCTCGAGCAGTACAGAAGTTGAAACACGTTCACACAGCACATTCGAGCTGTCCTGAACAATAATAAGTGCCCATCAATCTACTCACTGAGCTTATTTATTTTAGGGAAAGTGCTTTACAATAGTAAACCTTCAATAGTTAATATACTAGCAATATGCTGCCTACTGTTGATAGTCTGCAAAAAGAAAGCTACAAAAAAAAGACACTTTAGCATTTGTCTTGGCTAGCCTACTGTAGCCAGGTCGATCTCTTTTGGAATGCAATTATTTTTCAATCCGTATCATAACAAAATATAGCCTGTTAATCCTTAAGAGTCGGTTAACGCACCCGTGCATAATACAAAAATCTGTGTAAGCTAAAGATATGTTTATTTTTATGTATGAATGTATGTGTGTGTGTGTATATATATATATATATATATGTATGATGTCCTGAATTCATCTGTAGACAAAGCTTTTTTTATATATGATTTATTGGAATGTGTGTGTTAAGTAACACACTGATGAGATCGTGCCATTGAATAGATCTATCCAATATAACTTTACAGACAGATTATTTCACTTATAATTCACTGTATCACAATTGCAGTGGGTCAGAAGTTTATATACACTAAGTTGACTGTGCCTTTAAACAGCTTGGAAAATTCCAGAAAATGATGTCATGGCTTTAGAAGCTTCTGATAGGCTAATTAACATCATTTGAGTCAATTGGAGGTGTACCTGTGGATGTATTTCAAGGCCTACCTTCAAACTCAGTGCCTCTTTGCTTGACATCATGGGAAAATCAAAAGAAATCAGCCAAGACCTCAGAAAGAAAATGGTAGACCTCCACAAGTCTGGTTCATCCTTGGGAGCAATTTCCAAACGCCTGAATGTACCACGTTCATCTGTACAAACAATAGTACGCAAGTATAAATACCATGGGACCACGCAGCCGTCCTACCGCTCAGGAAGGAGACGCGTTCTGTCTCCTAGAGAGGAATGAAAAGTGCAAATCAATCCCAGAACAACAGCAAAGGACCTTGTGAAGATGCTGGAGGAAACAGGTACAAAATTATCTATATCCACAGTTAAACGAGTCCTATATCGACATAACCTGAAAGGCCACTCAGCAAGGAAGAAGCCACTGCTCCAAAACCGCCATAAAAAGCCAGACTACGGTTTGCAACTGCACATGGGGACAAAGATCATACTTTTTGGAGAAATGTCCTCTGGTCTGATGAAACAAAAATAGAACTGTTTGGTCATAATGACCATCGTTATGTTTGGAGGAAAAAGGGGGTTGCTTGCAAGCCGAAGAACACCATCCCAACCATGAAGCACAGGGTTGGCAGCATCATGCTGTGGGGGTGCTTTGCTGCAGAAGGGACTGGTGTACTTCACAAAATAGATGGCATCATGAGGAAGGAAAATTATGTGGATATATTGAAGCAACATCTCAAGACATCAGTCAGGAAGTTAAAGCTTGGTCGCAAATGGGTCTTCCAAATGGACAATGACCCCAAGCATACTTCCAAAGTTGTGGCAAAATGGCTTAAGGACAACAAAGTCAAGGTATTGGAGTGGCCATTACAAAGCCCTGACCTCAATCCTATAGAACATTTGTGGGCAGAACTGAAAAAGCATGTGCGAGCAAGAAGGCCTACAAACCTGACTCAGTTACACCAGCTCTGTCAGGAGGAATGGGCCAAAATTCACCCAACTTATTGTGGGAAGCTTGTGGAAGGCTACCCGAAACGTTTGACCCAAGTTAAACAATTTAAAGGCAATGCTACCAAATACTAATTGAGTGTATGTAAACTTCTGACCAACTAGGAATGTGATGAAATAAATAAAAGCTGAAATAAATCATTCTCTCTACAATTATTCTGACATTTCACATTCTTAAAATAAAGTGGTGATCCTAACTGAACTAAGACTGGGAATTTTTACTAGGATTAAATGTCAGGAATTGTGAAAAACTGAGTTTAAATGTATTTGGCTAAGGTGTATGTAAACTTCCGACTTCAACTGAGTGTGTGTAATATATATATATATATATATATTATTCCATAAAACATCTTTAACTGAAGAGACAAAATATGTACACTATAAAATCCTAGAGCTGCAGTTACACAACCGGACTACAAAAACCCTAAACTCTGAGAGAAAGCCATTCTCAAATCCAGAACCCAGTCAAAACAAAACCATCAAAATCACAGCTCTGCACTCAGGTAATATTTTTCCTGACAAAAGTCTCTGACTTGAACAAACCATAGGACAACCTGTGACCGCTCTGGTTCTAAACTGAGAGACCAACTCCATTCACCAGGACCATGGTCACAAGCAACAAGCTCCATCTGATATGGAGCCAGCGATAAAAGACGTGGAGCAACCACCACCAGTGAACATTGACCACAACTTCAGCCAACTCACTAGGCACACCATCCATGTTTAGCTTTGAGCACTCACTGAAACGGACCCGTTAGCCATATCCTCCTCACTTTCCTCCACCTTAACTGGAGACACACTCAACAACCAGAAGCGACAAAACCGAGGGCCTCCCGAATGGCGCAGCGGTCTAAGGCACTGTATCGCAGTGCTAGAGGCATCACTACAGATCCGGGTTCGATCCCGGGCTGTATCACACAATTGGCCCAGCGTCGTCCGGGTTAGGCCAGGGGGGCTTTACTTGGCTCATTGCTCTAGCGACTCCTTGTGGCAGGCCGGGTGCCTGCAGGCTGACCTTGGTTGTCCGTTAAACAGTGTTTCCTCCGACATATTGGTGCAGCTGGCTTCCGGGTTGAGCAGGCGGGTGTTAAGTAGCATGGTTTGGCGGGTCATGTTTCGGAGGACGCATGACTCGACTTTCACCTCCCGAGCACGTTGGGGAGTTGCATCAATGAGACAATAAATAAAATAAAACTTTTTAAAAGAAGTGACAAATCCGGTGGATCTGGCTTTCCCGCCAAACTCACTTCTTCAAGCTCCTGATCCTCATCACAAGACACCGCCTTGTCACCCCGAAAACCCCAGACCCGGTCTTCCTGTGAATCCTCACTAATCTCGCAACATGACTGGGAAGAATCTCCTCCCTCCCATAGCTCACTGAGTGAAGTGTCAGCTAAATCAAAACCTGACACCCAAAAAACCTCTACTGTGGCAAAGAACATGTCAGCTAAAGGAATAAAAGACTCACTGACAAACTGACTTCAACAGATCACTTGGGGAAACCAATTCATTTCTCAGAACCTAGTGTATCAGTGTCACTCAAACAAACAAAGAACGTCTCTCCTAAATTGACACATGAATCAACCTCATCCTCAACCTGCAGAGGGTACACTACATCTCATCTCTGCCCAGGTCTCAGCTAGAGACACAAGTACCACCTTCCTCACTAGGGAGAACCATTTCCTGGAAACCACTTTCTAGTATGACAAACAAAGTTTCCTCCATGTTCCCACACAACTATTCTCCTCCCTATATGGTTTTCAAATCAGCACTCCTCTGAACATGAGTAACTTCACAAACTGGGGATACCTCAAAGCTCTCATTGAGAGCCTCCGCCCCCTGAGACACGTGACCTTTCGCTGTGGTTACACAAACCTGATCATGTGGGGAAACTAGCTCATCACTCTGCTCACTGGAGGAACCTGGTTTAGTGACAAGACTGTCTGACTGACTCTACCCTCTATTGATCCCTTTACTCATCTGCTAGAGATTTACCCGTCTCCTAGAGATTCATGTACTTTGGTGCGAAAAGTGCAAATCAATCCCAGAACAACAGTAAAGGACCTTGTGAAGATGATGGAGGAAACAGGTACAAAAGTATCTATATCCACAGTAAAACGAGTCCTATGTTGACATAACCTGAAAGGCCGCTCAGCAAGGAAGAAGCCACTGCTACAAAACCCCTATAAAAAAAGCCAGACTATGGTTTGCAACTGCACATGGGGACAAAGATCGTATTTTTTGGAGAAATTTCCTCTGGTCTGATGAATCAAAAATAAAACTGTTTGGCCATAATGACCATCGTTATGTTTGGAGGAAAAAGGGGAAGGCTTGCAAGCCGAAGAACACCATCCCAACCGTGAAGCATGGGGGTGGCAGCATCATTCTGTGGGGGTGCTTTGCTGCAGGAGGGACTGGTGCACTTCACAAAATAGATGGCATCATGAGGAAGGAAAATTATGTGGATATATTGAAGCCAAATCTCAATACATCAGTCAGGAAGTTAAAGCTTGGTCGCAAATGGGTCTTCCAAATGGACAATGACCCCAAGCATACTTCCAAACTTGTGGCAAAATGGCTTAAGGACAACAAAGTCAAGGTATTGGAGTGGCCATTACAAAGCCCTGACCTCAATCCTATAGAACATTTGTGGGCAGAACTGAAAAAGCGTGTGCAAGCAAGAAGGCCTACAAACCTGACTAATTTACACCAGCTCTGTCAGGAGGAATGGGCCAAAATTCACCCAACTTATTGTGGGAAGCTTGTGGAAGGCTACCCGAAACGTTTGACCCAAGTTAAACAATTTAAAGGCAATGCTACCAAATACTAATTGAGTGTATGTAAACTTCTGACCAACTAGGAATGTGATGAAATAAATAAAAGCTGAAATAAATCATTCTCTCTACAATTATTCTGACATTTCACATTCTTAAAATAAAGTGGTGAACCTAACTGACCTAAGACAGGGAATTTTTACTAGGATTAAATGTCAGGAATTGTGAAAAACTGAGTTTAAATGTATTTGGCTAAGGTGTATGTAAACTTCCGACTTCAACTGTATGCTGCTCTCCGGTTTTTAATGAAACAAACATATGTGTAATTCAATTTATTCTGCGACTGTGTGACTGTTGTTACTGCCTTATTATATATATCACACTGGCATATGGACTGATGGGTTATAGAGCAAACAACACAATTATCACAACATATGTAGTAATATGGATTTTTACTGGCTTCGCTTCCTGTGATTTTACCTACGCACTGCTACTGGTCCAGCTGTCTCTCTTGACCTTGTTCGGCCAGTCCAAGCGGATTACTATTTGTTCAGATGGTGACGAAACATAAATATGTACAAAAAGGAAAAATACAAAAGGCATGCCCAAACTAAAGACTCAAACTAACGAAAGGACTCATGGCCATGAAACAAAACCCACAGCCTCACGGCTTGCAAGCTGGGACACTGACTGACAACCACCTTAAAAAATGGCAGAACCTGTGCTTAAAAGGGATGCTTTGGGATTTTGGCAATGAGGCCTTTTATCTACTTCCCCAGCACCTCATACCATTTTCATGTCTCTGTGTCCAGTATGAAGGAAGTTAGCATTGGCTCGCGAAACCCTCTAACTAGCGTTAGTGTGTAGACTTCCAGTCATTGCGCTAACGCTAGTTAGCAATTACGCTAGCGTTAGTTAGCAACTTCCTTCAAACTGCACGCAGACACATAAAAATGGTATCCACAAGTTCATCGGACTCTGGCGAAGTAGATATAGGGCCTCATTGCCAAAATCCCAAAGTATCCCTTTAATCAAACCTTGGCAACCCCTGGACCCGGCTGCTGCCACCTGGGGATGAAGTGTGGAAGTGTTACCTAGATAGCACACAGGTAGGCAACACAATAACACTACACTGCCTACTACATAACAATAGCACCTCTAGTAATTTAATAGGAACGTCTTAGTAATCCTATTTGGTAGTAACATCCTAGTCATGAGTGCTTACCTGAACATTACAACTGCCATTCGTCACCCTGGGCGGAATCCTCAACTGGAACCCGTGGCCCACCACCGCTGAACAGTCTGGGATGCCTGCGGGGGCCACCTCTGTGACCACAGGCAGGGATTCTGGGATACCCGTGGGAGGTCCCTCTGTGACAGAGGCTGGAGCCTGCAAGTCGGAGAGGACCGAGGAGTGCATGGATGCTTCCAGGTCCACCAACACCATCTCCCCCAGGCCCTCCACTACCGGTCCCCCAGGTACAGTGCCCTGGACCAGAGCCACCAGGAGCCCCAGCACCAGGGGGATAGTTCTGCCTGGAGGAGGCCTGGTTCTCCCCACACCTCCACAGTCCCAGCCTCTCTGTTTACAGTGCATAGTGGTAGGCCTATGCGTTCCCAGCCTCCTCTCTTAAGACTACTTCAGGGCCACATGCACTGGAAGTCAAAGTGATGGAACAAAGGTGGTGGGTTGGTTTTTCTTGACGTTTAATGTCTTTGTTGATGATTAATTAGGTTTAATTTTGTGTTTCCTTTGTCGTCTTCCTCTGTTATCCATGAAGAGAATCTGTGGCAGGTAGTTAGTCAGCCATGTTAGTCAGCCACTGCAAAGAAAGAGAGAATCAACTAGTGTAAGAATCTGATAGCTTTTTAAATGAATAATCTCATCAAGCATATGCCTCCAAAAGACCTCTCCTGCTTGTGCGAGCGTGACCATTTTTCAACTGTATAATAACAAAGACAATTCTCAGCAGATATTCTGGGTTGGGTATTACAAAATATTGAGAGAGAAAGATAATTTTTGCAAACAATATTTCAATGCAATGGCCCATGAAGTGGGCGAATGTATCAATGACAACAAAACAAACGACTGGGGCAAAACTGAGGGCTAAAACATATTTTACATTTCCAGGATAGAGAAACTAGTTCATTTTTGCCAAGCAAATGGGAAAGAAATCCAGAAGACCAAGCATAACATAGTATTACGATAATGACTGAGAAAATCAAAACATTTCAAGTGCCATAATCATTTTCTTAGAGGGTATGTTGATCTCCCACTGATCTCCTCTTTGCATGTCATCGAGTTTTCAGAATAGCAGTTCTCGTGAAATGGCAGACAGAGTCAAAGGTCATTTGTCTTGGTTGTAAGTTTTAATTAGGTACCCTGGGGGTGGGAATTAGAGCTTCCACTATGCCAACCTCAATCGCCTGGAATCCTAATGCTAAGCAAGCTAGGCTGTGACATCAGCTCATCAGGACTATAACAGACCATCTTTAGCAGGAAAATTAGCATAGAAAATAGCATTTACATGGCCTAATGGGGAGAAGTAGGCCTACTCTTTACAACTCTCTGACAGCTGTTATTGCCTGGTTGCCAATTAAAAGAGAAGGAGAAAGTTCAGCACCACAGCCATATATAGCTTTGATTCCCCATTTGGTCTGTCTGACACTACAATATTCATTGTCCCTTCATAAAAAGGCAACTGATGAGGATTACGATACAATGCATCTAAGCATTTTCTCTCCCTTTTTAAAACACCTGTCAACATCACTCAGTTTCTGTAAAGAAACTCAAAAGAGAGATCCATGGTCTGTTCACTCTCCTCCGCCAGCCCGGCCAACGCTGCTCAGAGGCCAAACGCTGTCATCACATTGCTTTAGCGATCAGATGCGATCGATGGCAGAACCTCAACTTAGATGCAAAGGCAGTAAATCATCTAAAGTTAGGGCTACGTGTTTTCCCAAGGGAGCCTTCACTCATAGTGATTCAGTGAGTGTACAGTCAAAGATTAGAACCGATCATTTGAGCGTGGAATGAAAAGTTGAATGCTTTCGTGCTTTTATTCATTCAATACATGATACCTTTAATCTCAGTTGGGCACCATCTCTTACTTCTACACTTTGATGGATGTATACATTTACAGAGGTAAATAGAGATGGATATCTTTATTTCTTTTTACTCCTAATATCCAATTGTTAGTTACAGTCTTGTCCCATCGCTGACACTCCGGTACGGACTCGGGAGAAGCGAAGGTCGAGAGCCATGCGTCCTCCGAAACACGACCCTGCCAAGCCGCACTGGTTCTTGTCACACTGCTTGCTTAACCTAGAAGCCAGCCGCACCAATGTGTCGGAGGAAACTCTGTACAGCTGGCAACTGAAGTCAGAGTGCATGTGCCCAGCCCACCACAAGGAGTCGTTAGAGCGCGATGGGACAATGTCCGGCTGGCCAAACCCTCCCCTAACCTGGACGACGCTGGGCCAATTGTGCACCGCCTCAAGGGTCTCCCGGTCGCTGGCTGCGACACAGCCTGGGATCGAACCTGGATCTGTAGTGACACCTCAAGCACTGCGATGCAGTGCCTTAGACCGCAGCGCCGCTAGGGAGGCCAGAGATGGATATCTTTACAGAGGTAGGTAGACCATTGCCAGCAGCAAGCACTAGTGTTTTTGCCATAGAAGGGGATTGTTATGACTAGATCACCAGCTGTGTAAGCTGGAAAGTTCAATTAAGCCCCATCCACAGGGTCCCTTCGATCAGCACTATCCTGCTTCTAATCTGCCGTGCTGGATGCAGACAACACCATCTTAAAAGCATGGCTTATTCAAAAATGTACCGCTGCAATGCCAGGCTACACATTTCCCATTTGTTGATGTAGCCTAATTTGAAGCAATTTGCAAGTTCTTAAAACTCTCTTAGACTGAGTTATCCGTCATCTGCTTTTCAACTTCAGAAGATTGTTAACCATTTGTTATTTTGGCCCACTACCCACCCTTTCTGAAGCTGTAAACAGTGACAGCTGTAGCCTAACACTCTGAACTAGTTAGTCATCGTAATTTCACCTAAGACTAGACAGTCTGATCTGATGCCTTACTCCTTAACCATGTTGAGACATGCAGAAGTAGGCTATAGATCCCAATCAAACCACCAGAGACGATTCTATGGTCTGCACTCTCCCCGCATGAGGCTCTCTCCTCCCTTCCGCTAGGAGCCCCTGACTCAGAGGAGTCTGAATAGAAAACACAGTAGAGTCACGCTTTCTATAGATTTCTAAAGCTGCCTCATTGAAAGAGACAAGGCCAAGCTGGCATACTGGCAGGGGAGGGCCTACATTAGAAGAGGCTGTTAAATTCCAACTAAATTTAAAAAAAACAGGCCTAGGCCAACATAATGGACTGCTAGACTCGATCATCCAATTAACTTCCCTTTAGTTAAAATGTAAGAGCACAAACAAGTAACACGCCTGCCCTTTTTACATAAAACTGTGTTTATATTTAGTTTAGCTAATACACCTTGCAATGCTCTACAGGCAAAAAGCTCTTTGTGCCACAGTATAAATCAAAGTGAGCTCTCTAGTCACTATGGCCTAGATTCTATCATGTTCCCATTTCCTGAACATGATTCAATCATGTGTTCAATCCAAGGATTGATTTCAAAGCCCATTTCCTAAACAAACAAGAAAAGTATTTGATGTGTTGCTGTGCGTGTCATTCCTAGCTACAGTGCAATAGCAAGGAGGAATATGATGCAATCAAAACAAACACAAAAGCAGTGAATTTCATAAGGAGTCAGACGTGTTAGACCAAATTGTAAAGACTTTAGTCGATTTTAACTCATGTGTCTGTCTGTTCTCTTAAAACAAGTGCATCTCTTTTCAGTTGTAGCCTATATCCAACAGCCATCCCCGAGAACATAGATCATTGACATAGGCCCTAGTTGGAAGCCTCAGTTAGCCAAGATTCCAAGACTAGGCCATCTGTTAAAAACAGCAGGTGCTTAAAATTCAACAAAACGCCAAGGAGCACCTTCACTATAGAGTAACACACATCCTCCAACTAATAGGCCTTGATGATATAGGCCTAAGAAAGAAGGTCCTCTGGAAGCTTTATAAAATTGATACTTCGAAGAATGCAAGTTTGGCAAAGTTGCAATCCGGCAAAGTTGCAATTTTGAAAAGGTTTGTCAGTCGCCTAAATCACAACCAAACTGTGAATATAGATAATCCCCACTCATACAATAACATAAAACAAAGGGTTAAAACTAAAAGCAAGTATAATTTTTTAAAATCATTTGAATAAGGCGTTGGGGCTGCGCATATAATTATGTTAGGTCTTCAATGTCTTGTGTAAGGTAAAGCAAATGTTATTACCATGCCAATGATTTCCTACCTACTGTATATTTGCAGTCAGAAGTATAGCTTTGTTCATCCCCATATAGACAGTGTCTGCTCCATACAGATCCTATCAAGGAGGAAGAGTTTACATGAAATTCTATGCGTCATTCCCCTTTACACTTATTTGCATGTTATTTGACCCGTACAGTGGGAAATAATTTTAAATGATTAAAAATAATTGGGCCTCAACTGCACAGTGACATTAAGAGCAAATTTAATTGACGTATCCCACGTCCACCAAAGCAGCCACTGGACAACACATGATCTGAATATTAAACATTTCCACTAGACAAGCTTGCCTTGCAATCTCAGATGACTGGATGTTCTCAATTCCTCTCTGTTACCCAGTCAGACCCCAACCATTGAACAGCTAGCTAGTTGCAAGTAACTTAGCTAGCTAGTAGTAAGTAGGCTTATGAATGTTGACCTTGATATATGGGTATGTAGGCTACCTGAGTTTAAAGGTGTGAAAGGAATATTGCTGCGAAATCCAAGCAGCAGTTTCATGCGATTCAAATTGTAAGACAATATAGCCAATACAACAGAGTTAGAGTGAACTCAACTGATTTAGCTAGTTACTTGAGCTATTCATGGGTGTAAGCATTAATCCAAACGGTTGAAAATGTTCAACTAAAACGAGAGTTTCTATTGGACAAATTCAGATAAATCCCTCCCCATTTCGTTCCATTTGCTTCCGTTTATGAAACGTTTTGCAACAGAATCGGCGGAATGAATACACCCCAGGTCTGCAAGCCAACCGATTAGCTGTAGAGTGAGACAATGTAGCGAACTAGTCCTAAATTAAATATCTAGCTAGCTAAACTAGTCTAGGTGAAATAAATAAATGCCCCCTGTATGCGCGCTAAAAAAAGTCGCTACTTAAATAAGTTTATATTCATATAGCTAGCCATAACCGTATATTCACAGAACTGGCAAATAGCTAACAAAGCTACTAAATTAGGTAGTAATGTTAGTAGAATAAATTATTTAACATTGAATTCTCGAAATAGTCCATATACACCAAGATAATAATTATCTGTCATTACAAAGGAGGGCCCTACTTGCCCCGATTCGGGTGGACTGTTCGCAAGCTAGCTAACATACTACAGAACGCAGGCCATTGCTAACTAGCTAGCTTCCTTTTCAGACTTCAACGCTAAACACTTACAAAACGTCAATCGCAACGCAACCTTTTATCAGTGAAAATGCATTTTCGAACACTAATGGATTGTTTTGGTAGCAAATATGCAATAAACGATTTGGAAATAATTCCAAGCAGACACAACAGTCACAGCGCTCGAGCGAGAGATGCACCTGTTATACGCAGAAAACGGCTCGCGCTTTTAGCCAACTAGTCGTGTGATCGACCTAGGCTCAAGCTACACTAAAACCCTATCTTGCCCAAAGTATTTAGCTAACTAGGTTAGTTGTG